AAAGACAAAGTGAAAACAAATTCCATTTAAAAATGTGATTGTTTTTTGGTAACTGTGGTGCGGCCGAATCCATCCTTTCACTGCAGTGTTAAATGGCCTGATACTGATGCAGTGCTTTTACACTGCAAGCCATATCCGCCCAGTCCTACACTGCTTTATTCTATGCACAGTGAGAATGAATCTGTGCACACCGATGCATCGGGGCATTTATGCACATACATATAAAAAGAAAATGTTTGGCACGTTCAGCTCTATCTCTCTCCAGAAACAGTGTCCTAGTCAGAAAGGATAATCCATAAGGCTCATAACTCACAATGGTCATTTATCAAGTAAGAACCAGTAAGGAAAAAAATAACCCCTCTTATTTCAAACCTCATCACACAATGTTTAAGTTAAGCTGGTTTGGTTTAAAAGAGACGTTGTAATTTACCCTGATGGGTTGCTTGTTTATAACCACGTAACCTCTCCATAGACTCAGAACCTAAGAGAAACAGACATCATAAAAACAAAGAGAAAAGCTATTAGATATCAAACTGACAGACCAATGCCTGCAGCTTCAGAGGAACAGTGTCATTTTATGCAATTTTGGTCCTTTACATTGACCTCCAAACTACAGTAGCACTGAGGTCCACAAGTGGCATGCTGCTCCTGCAACCGTGCCATATGTCAGTGTTGCAGCAGCCGAATGCAATTCTCAGATGGACAGTTAGTGCTCGTAGAGCGTCATCCTCATTATTACCACTCTGCTTACACAGGAAACAAGTTACCATATGAAATTTGGTCACAAGTTTAGCTTCTTGTGCAAAATAGGTACAAATTAATGTTGCCCAAATTACTTTTACAACAGTTTATTCACTCTGATTTTGCGTCAATCATTAATCATTAATTAATCATGCCATAAATATATGTTCTTAAAAATCTGTATTTTATTCCTTTCTACCTTTGACAGAGTAGTGTAAATTTCTTTACTTCGTAAAAATTAACATTAAACTTGAAGTTGTTCAGTGACCTGCTTTAAGAACCTTCATACATGTTTATACATACATTGTTAGCTTTTTAAACAGCGGGTTATAGTAAACAAGTCAAAATATAGTAAACAAGTTACAGTAAAAAAGTCAAAATGCACTTTAACAAACACATAATCAATTTATAATATGTAATTTATTTATTTTTTACCATTTTTTTTATTCAATCAATAATGGACAATAAAATTTATTTGAATACATTGACCCACCTTAAATAAATGAACAAAATATAAAAGTAGTTTAACAACATTATTTATTTATTTATTTTTACTTTAATCCACAAGAAAGTAAACTTTAAGTGATCCTGACTCTTGATAAAAAATATTTGTCTAACCCTAAATCACACGCAGTGTAAAAACAGATCTTTTAGTGCCCCCTCCTGGCAGATTTGTGTACATGCCGATGCCAGAGCGGCCCTGGTGCCCACATAAACGTGTTTTCTGTGTGCAAACAAACTGTTAGCAGACAAGTAGTAATGAGGCTGATCCTGTAAGAGCACCAGCTGATTCAGATTTAGTTAAAGTAGTCATAGTGAAATAGCCATTAGACCAAAGGTCTACCAATGATACTCACCATAAACCTGTTGGTTGACCTTCCCGTTGTCAGACTGGAGTTGTTCAAAATAACAGGCGTCACCAGACAGACTCTGTGAGGCTTCAGCAGCTCTGATATCTGATCTGCTCACAGGATTACACACAAAAACAGACCATCACTATTGCTATCATACTTTTAAGGACATCTTCAGCAGAGGCTTCAGTTACTGTTTGTTTCTGGACCTTTCGGTCCAAAGTTTAGCCTTCAACAAGTGAAATGCTCAGTTGGGTTAAGATCAGGTGACTGACTTGGCCATTCAAGGATATTCCACTTCTTTGCTTTAATAAATTCCTGGGTTGCTTTGGCTGCATATTTTAGGTCATTGTCAATTTGTATTATGAAACGATGCCCATCAGTTCGACTCCATGTAACTGGATTTGAGCAGACAGCTTGTCTCAGAACACCTCAGAATTCATTCGGCTGCTTCTGTCCTGTGTCACATCATCATTAAACACTAGTGTCCTAGTGGGACTGGCAGCCATACACCCCAAACCATCACATTGCCTCCGCTGTGTTTATGATGTGGTTTGCTTTGGATCATGAGCTGTTCTTTGTCAGATGTTTTCTTTTCTGTTTTCACAGCTTAAGGGTGACTTGTTTCACATGCATGGAGAGCTCCTGTGACTGCATGTTGTCTGTGCACAGTGAAATCTTCCATATGCAAGTACCACACCTCAGATCAACTCCAGGCTTTTATAAGCTTAATTAATAATGACATAATGATGGAATTGCCCACACCTGCCCACGAAATAGCCTTTGAATCAATTGTCCAATTACCTTGGTCCCTCCTAAACCCTTCATCCAATTTTAATGCAGATACCCTCAAATGAAAGCTGAGAGACTACACATGACATCCATTGTGTAACTATTATTTAAATACGTTTCAATAACCAGGTAAAAAAAAAAATCTAAACTTGTGTCCAAATATATATGGACCTAACTATAAACTTGAGTCACATCCCATTCTTTAATCCATAGGGTTTAATATGATGTCGGCCCACCTTTTGCAGCTATAACAGCTTCCACTCTTCTGGGAAGGCTTTCCATAGTTTAGGAGTGTTTATTTATAACCATTCTTTAAGGAGCACATTTGTGAGGACAGACCAGTAGGTTTCCTCCACACCAAACTCTCATCCATGTCTTTATGGACCTTGCATTGTGCACTGGTGTGCAGTCATGTTGGAAGAGGAACGGATCATCCCCAAACTGTTCCCACAAATTTGGAAGCCTGAAATTGTCCAAAGTGTCTTGGTATGCTGAAGCATTAAGAGTTCCCAACACTGAAACTAAGGGACTGCTCTGTGATCTTACGTGGCCGACCACTACATGACTAAGTTGCTTCCACTTTCTTATAATACCACTAACAGCTGACTGTGGAATATTTAGTACAGAGGTCGGAAGTAACAACGTACAAATACTTTGTTACTGTACTTAAGTAGAATTTTCAGGTATCTGTACTTGAGTAGTTTTCTTTCTGACTACTTTTTACTTTCACTCACTACATTTTGAACAAGTATATGTACTTTCTTCTTACATTTTCAAAACAGGTTTATTACTTAATTTAAAAATATATATATTATTAATTTTAACATATTTAAGGCGAGTTATTATTTCACTTCACTGTGAGCGTCCAAACATCAAACCAATTTGAGCCTAAACAGCAACACAAGAAAACCAGTCCTGTTCATGTATTATTCACCAGGACATGTCACATAGAAAGAGATGGAAGAGGCAAAAAGTCAGCGGTTAAAGTGCGATGGGTATTTTTGTTTTTGTTGATATTTAAATTGTGGTAGCAGTACTTCAGCATCTAGTTAGTGCTACAAAAGAGGAGCGAGGAGCATAAATTTAGTCTTATTTTAAAGGTGCAGGTAATTTCAAATGCACATTTTATCAGTTCAACAAACATCAGCAAACACACAAACTGTTTGTGTGCAGTTATTTGCACAGTGTGTTGCTAGCTAAAGGTCCAGCTGCTATATTTGACAGGCAGAGAAAAGAAAGAGAGCCAACTTCACTCAGAGATAAGAAAATCAGGACAGGAGAGGAAGAAGAGAGGTTCGATTTAAAGGGAAGGACTACTCAGTGTAGAAACATCTTCCAAAGAGCTACTTTTTACTTTCTTACTTTGTGTACATGTAAGAGCCTGTACTTTTTTCACTTTTACTTGAGTAAAGAAGTTGAATCAGTACTTCAACTTTTACTGGAGTATTTTTTTAACACTAGTATCTGTACTTCGACTTAAGTGCATAATGTCTGTACTTTTGCCACCTCTGATTCAGTAGCAAGGAAATTTAATCACTGGACTTGTTGCACAGGTAACATCCTATCACGGTCCCACGCTGGAATTCACGGAGCTCCTGAGAGCGAGCGGTGCATGCCTAGGTGCTCGGTTTTATACACCTGTGGCCACGAAAGTGATCGGAAGACCTGAATTCAGTGATTTGGGTGGGTGAGTGAATACTTTTGACAATATAGTGTGGATGACACTAGGCAAACAGGACCATTTCTGCAAAAACCTGAACTGAGATCCACAGATCCTCCACACTGTACACCACCAGCATCTTCACTGCACCTAGAAATTTTGTAGGAGTTACAACTGGCACAACTGGCCGACAAAGGGCGGCCCTGGGAAAATTCCAAAGCATCCTCAGTGTTGGACTGAAGGGTAAGTGACAACATGTGCAATGGAAGGTTTAAGAATGGTAAATGGACTGGTTCTTATATAGCGCTTTTCTACTCTGAGCACTCAAAGCGCTTTATACAACTAATTCGTTCACCTAACCGCACAAGCACTAAACTGTGTGAATGGGTGTTAAGTGCTCACTATCTAACATTCACACACAGTCACACGCTGATGGATGCATCAGAGAGCAACCTGGGGTTAGTATCTTGCCCAAAGATATTTGACAAGCAGACTGGAGCCTGGGATCGAACTGCCAACCTTCCGGTTAGTAGCTGACCTGCTCTACCACCTGAGCTACAGCACATTGTTGTCATCGTGTTAAACAGTCGTATTACCAGGCTTTAAACACCACCTATAAACACCACCTACTTTGTGAGGCATGAAGACATCCATCCTTTGTAAACTCTGTTTATTTACCCACGTGGTTCTTATTTCCAGCCCATTTTAAGAACGAACAGGCAGGAGTTCTGACTTTAGTGTAGGGAATTACATAGTGATAATATAGTGATTTGTGAAATGCTAAGACTTGTGAAAACTTGTGAAATTGAGTTTTCAAAGAAACAAAAGTAGTGCAAGATCTGAAACTGCCCAGCAACCTCTTTTCTGCGGTTTGAGGCAAACTGAAATAATGGAAACTTGCCCTGTAACTTTAGCACAGAAAGGAAATGTATTTGTAACGACTTTCAATGTGAATGACTTTCAGTTAAACTCAATATAGTAGATATATTTGAGGGGGTTTTGTCGCTTTAGATACCTTACTTTTACAAATTCCCCAATAAATCAGAGTTAAAATCAGCAGTTACAATAACATCTGGTTTGTGTATGTACCCGTATAAGAAGGAAAAGACTTTTACAAGAGTCCACTCACTCATAGGTGACGTGGGCAACGGTAAGCTACTGAAAGGAGATGGACACATTGATCAGGTGTTAAGTGGCCAAATAGTAGCCTGAATTTCCCACAAGTAATCAGATACAGAGCGAAGACAATGATGAATAACAAAAGCTGATAAAGGATAGTCTGGATGAACGTGAGAATAAAAAAAGCTTTGTGGGGAAAAATCAGCACAAAGAAAACTCCTTTATGTGGGTGCAAAAACACTGGGACTGGTCAAAGATGAAATGATTTGTATTTGATAAAATTAGCAGAGGACAGGACGCCTACAGTGTTACTGATCATGTAAGCCACGCTTTCTGAGGATTAGAACGTCTGTCTTATTGGGAATGACCTGTACAAAAAAACTTAAATGAACTGATCAAATTAATGTTGTCCATTCATTTATAAATAACATTAGCTTATTTGGTTGGGGCAAAAAACATACCTGAACGGTATCTACAAATAAATAGCATGTGATATTAGTTTTTAATAATCTATCTAAAGGGCAGCAGATATGAAATGAACCTGAGGCTCAGAAGTTGCTGAAGGACAGAAATTAGGTACGTCCCCCACAAAGACAGTAAAACATCTGTGAGAGAACATTCAAACTGTTATTATGCAATAGCTGTATAATCAGGGTTTGATGTTTTACAGAAGTGAGCCCTAGTAGTTCCAACCCTAACCCTGATTATACATGACTAGGTGATCATTTCTAATGAAGTTCAGGTAGCTTAGAGTTTTAGGATGGCACAGAAATTTCTCGGAGTCACCTCACCAAACAAGTGCCAGATTCACTGTTATTCAGAGGCTTTTTTGGCACCGGCAAGGTCTATGGCATGGAAATACTGACAGTCAGAGTGCAACTGACTGCTGTGCTGAATTCAGGGACATGTTACATACAATACCGATCATGTGCTCAGATTACACTGAATTTCTGCAGAACGCTGCATGATGAAGGTCAGCTGTGCACCCACCCTTCTTTAGAAATTAATCGGAGCACTAACAGAGTAATAATTTCAGAGAGTCCTGGTATCGGACTGTCTTTATTCAGTTCATAACACTGCTAACAAACCACACACTGAGTCACGTTTCCTTCTTTTTGTCAGTTGGTGTCACTGACTGTTAAAGTGGAAACACAGACGGTAACTAAGTAGGAGAAGCTGACCTTTAGGCATAAACAGTTTGTTTCAATGAAAAAGAAAAGCCTAACTTAACTGTGTAGACCAGATGTTTTTTATGAAGTCAGGATTTAGTCCAGTAAAAAGTTGTATGGCTAGTATCACTGAAGCACAGATTATTTACATCTTTATAAATAATCTTACATCATTAAAACTGTATGTTTGAAGTTTTAGACAAAAATAAATACATGTAAGATGATCTCTGTGACGGAAAGTCTCACATTTTGTTGCTAAGCACCCGTTTTTACCCAGTATGGCAACATTTGGAGCCCCTGAATTAGATTGCATTTGCTTTAACTAGGTCAGCTTAAACAGACTGAGTTGAAATACATGTAAAAAAATTTAAGGTGTTTCAATGCTATCATCCTATGTTCAAAGAATCGGAAATATCAAAGCGCATTAACTTTGCTGCTGAAAACGGCTCAGCTTACCTTGCAGGTTCTGGGAAACAGCCTCCATTCTGTGGACTTCAATAAAACGATGAAATTAATATGAAGATGCACAAAAAGTTAATCTGTGATCTTGTACTGCTCCTTAGAGAAATAACGAAAGGAAAGATGCATGTCCATACCGCCAAATTTACAAAAAGAAGACAGATTTTAATCTAATAAAACAGTGTGTACAAATCCAACTGCACTGAGTCAGGAGCAGGGAGCAGAGGAGATAGTAAAACAAGAAAATGTAGCGTGGAGATACTAAAGGTGTGAAGGTACACACATGAAACCACCATAAGATTTCTTTTTCAGAGCACATCTGCATATAACCCTCTTTCTCTTTCCACCCTGCATGCATGCACACACGTCACCTTTCTTGCTCTGCTTGCATGCACCCTCTGCTTGTGAACGTAGATACTCACATCCTGTTCCATGTTGTGAGTCAATAACACTGTGAACACAGAGAAGACTAAGCAGGAAGGAACTGAAGCTAACCCCCACACTGCAGGAAACCTGCAGTTTTACAAAGTTGTGCATCGTGTTTAGAAGTTTAGGAACTAATCAAATGTTGAACGTCAGAGGATATATAAAAGAAATAATATTTATGAAAGCATAATAAGGGTTTAATGACTTTTACTTTTATTATGATGGAATCAATTATAAATATTTTTCATTAGTAGTTATCTCTAACCACCAGGGGGAACCAAAGTGCACATTCAAAGTGTTTTATCTACATTTAGTTAAGGCAGAACTGCTTTGATCCGTTTACAGTTTTGTACATCGCCTTAAGGCAACTGTTACTTTGATTTGGCGCTGTATAAATAAATAGAATTAAACTGAATTTTTCTGCCATCCTGTTGTAGAAAGTGCTCCAGGAGGATTAGCACGTTTGCCTCACAGCAAGAAGGTCAATTCCAGCACCTGGCCAGGGTCTTTCTGTGTGGAGTTTACATGTTCTCCCCATGCTTGTGTAGGTTCTCTCTGGGTACTCCAGCTTCCTCCCACAGTCCAAAGACATGCAGTTAGTGGGGTTAGTTACCTTCATAGGTATGAATGGTTGTCTGTCTCTATGTGTCACCCTGGACAGGTCCCTTTTAACTGGTGACGTGTGCAGGGTGTACCCTGCCTCCTGCCTTATAGTAGCTGGGATAGGCTGACAATATAAAATAATTAATAGCAGTCAGACAGATGTTGTCATGCTTCACTCTGGAATACTTTGGCATATAGAGGAGGTCAACTGAATGACTGCAAGCTGTGTAAGCCAGGTGTTGAGAAGATGGAAGTACTTTGAGAAGCTGATGAATAAATAAAAGCGAGAGGACGACAGTGTTGATGGATAAATAAAAAGGTGGTCGGAAAGAGACGCACTGTGTATTTCTGGATCTAGAGAAAACTTTGTGAGGAAGTCAGGTGTGGCAGAGAAGTATGTGAGGGTGGCGCAGAACAGGTACAGTGTGAGGACAGAAAGGCAGTGTTGAGGTAGAAGGGACAGATGGGTTGAGGTTACATCAGGGATCTACTTTGAGCTCCTTCATGGAGTAATGATGGACAGGTTGACAGATGACATTTGGCAGTTTCTGTCTGCCAAGATGTTCACAGGTGACATTGTGATCTATAGTTTGGAAAACAAAAAAAACAAACAACAGGCTGGACTTGAGGTGCTGAGTGTGTGACCACAATGGACAGGATATACAAGTATATCGGATGGAAAGCTAACGTTGAGTGCTTTGGAGACAAAGTAAGAGCTTCAAGGCTGAGACAATTTTGACATGAGCAGTGAAGACACTGGCTGTAGAGTAGGAAGGAAAAAAAGCAAGAGCACAGATAAGGTTCATGGGTGTAGCGAAGGAGGACACGCACAGGGCTGGTGTGACAGAGCAAAGATGTTAGGGCTAGTGTGAGATGGAGGCACAAGAGCTGCTGTGGTGACCGCTAAAGGAAGCAGCCGAAAGAAGATGATGTGCAGATTTTGACCATGTACAGATAAAATACTAAATAATTATTCACTTGTGCACCTAATTCTCATTTTCTGAAGTCATTATCAATGTATGATATGTAATCATTCTACCTTGTAAAAAACAAAAAGCAAACCAAAAAGTTCAAAGAAATCAATAAAAGCCCCAAATTACTATGGCAATCATGCCCATTGGTGTTTGTAAACTGATCACAAATGTATTTTATAATCCCACCTTTTTGAATAACTACATGTTTAAGTTAAAGAACAGAATTATGCAGCAGTCATAAGCCCATTAAGATGATTTTAATTTTCATCATCTGTACAATTTCTCATTTTCAAAAATGACATCACAAACATTTGTTTTCTTGGTCTTAAAATGGGGACACTTAATCTTAAAACTATTTTCTCAATTTTTCTGCAAAAACAAACAATATGGAATTTAAAAAACAAAACAACCCCAAAACAAACAAATAACAACAAGAAAAAACAAAAAACAAAACCCCGCACTGATTTCAGAACAGTCATATAACCTCAAATCATTCCATCAGGACATGAATATGACAGATCAGGTAACTGAACACTGTCTTGTTACACAGGAAGATGCCTGACCACAACTGTACAGTGCAAATCTGATTCATTTTTTTACACAACTGGGCATTTACATTACAGAAGAGCTAAAGTCACCTTATGGCTGTAATAATCCATAATTCAACTGTCTTCAGAGAAATCAAATCATATTATCTGTTGACACTTGGATCTTGAAGAATCCTGGAAACTGAGTGGAAGTGAGAACAACAACATGGAAATACAAAAGTAGCAATTTGCCAAACAGCTCTATCAATGGGGCTTTTCCATTACCTCAAGTTGGTTCAGTCTTAGTGTAATGCAGTTTAGCTAAAACCTAAAATATGATATGTACACTGCACTACCAGCTGGAAAACTTGATGGTGGAGGATGGTGCAGCAATGGCAGAAAACAGCTTACATTAGCAGTTACTTTTCACAGTGTTCATATAGCTGAAAGCCACTGATGTACTGCAAAAATAAGGCTAATGTGTGAGTGTGCAGACACGAAGAAACTGAAATGTATGAAGAACTGAACGCAGAGGCTTAAATGCAGCTTTCTCTCAGATGACGAAGGCAGGGGACCAACTTGGCCAGATAAGATCCAGTATGTTGAACAGTGCATTTGCACAAGGGTCATTCTGTCCCTACAAACGAGTTCCAAGTCACCTCTGTTTTTAGATACAAACCCGTCTTCAAGCAACAACTTACAGTCCACTAGAAGTCAAACTGGCCCCACTACGCATTGAACTCAACCAACTGCAGAGAAACAGTGACAACTACAGAAAGATCAAAAATTAAACTGTAATGCATCACAGCAGACACAAGCTAACCGAGAGACAGTCGGGGGTGGCAGAAATCAATTCAGTTGATTTGGTATATATGCTGATCTGTAGAATGAAAGCATGATGGTGAGGGCCCTTCGCTCAGGACACTCAGGTTTAGAAAAATACATGCAAGCCTTGCTGTCTCTTTCCCAACACATGTTCAGATAATAAAAACATTCAAAGGTGTTAAAATGTGTATGTACATGCACTCCATCCACCACAGCTAGTTTTCACTGATTATTGTAGATGAAGAACGTGTTTGAGCGACTGATTTACAAAATGCATAATGACTGTTACAGTAAGAACTGGGATTAGCTGAAGTGCTTGGGGTGTTCAAAAACCACTGCTATAATACGATATTGTATAAGTAGGATTATCCACATTTTCTCCAACCAGCAGGGTTTCATGAGACGTGTACGACCCTTTCCTTCAAAAATGTGGACAGGAGGAGAAACATTGAGTGACATATGAATGACAAATATCTCCCATGTGTGAAACAGTTGAAGTTTCGGCTGCGTGTGTGATATGGCCAAACTCATTTATGAGCCGTCTCATCGTTTTAGTTTACATAAGTTGACTGGGGGCTAGTTTCCGTTCACAACAAGGTTTAACAAGAAGGCTGAAAAACTATCATCACTCACTTCTATTGATGTCAACACTTACCCCATGCCTACTCACAGGAAGACTCATTCTGCTAACTCAGTGTACAAACAGCTGACTAATAACACCACTATGGTGACCATGTGGCTTTAGGAAAAAAAAAATAAAATTTAAAATCACAAAACTAAGCAAAAATGGCATCTGAAAGTACCAAATAATGTCATTGTTAGGAATAGCTACATTCTCTCTCTCTCACACACACACACACACACACACACGGAATTTGCAAAATCAGCATAGTTGTAAAGAACTGCAAGCAGGACATCTCACAATTCTTCTAAAAAAACAAAAAAAATACTTGAATGTAAAGTTCCATCAAATAATGTTCTCATATTAAAGACATGGAGAGGGTGTGTGGGTAGAGACTGGCACAGGATGTGGCTTTGGGTAGGAATAATTAGCAAAATCCACTTAGAGCCATTGAAAAGACATTCAAACTGGAAAAAAGCATTTAACAGCAGAGAGCAGTTTTAGCTTTGACATTATCTGTGTACAGTAAGGGTCACGGAAGGATGTGTGACAGAGTCCTGAAACATGGGCATACAGGCTGACACACGGGGATGTGAAGACATTGTGTTTAAACACATACATGCAGCTTCTACTCTTAGTGCACGACTGCTCCTGCTGTCGCATTCGGAAGCCATTTTAGCAGAACGGCTGCCATTGGATGAAGCACGAAATGAAGGCCATGGGGAAGTATGCAGTAATTTTAGTCATAGTCCGGCTACATGTGCGTTTCTGTGTTACGTTCACCGGTCCATCATGCTAAGGATCATCTCTGGTGTCAAATCTCCGTTGGCTGAAGCTGCCGCTGTTTCTTCGTTCACAGGAAGCTCAACAGTCTCTACCCCTTCATCAAGCCCCACCCCCTCCACAGTGAGGGCCACTCCCTGCTCCAGAGGAGTCGCTGCAGAGGCATCACCTTCCTCCTTCTTCACTATGATGTTCTCCACTGCCCCAGTGCTCTCATCCTCCACTTGAATGATGGCAGCAGCTAAAAAGCACAACAGACATATTTCTTACTATCCATAGCACTATCAAAAACGACAGGTTCGTTTACTAGAGTACTCGTCTTCTACGGTTATTAATCACTAACATATATGGCATACATTCATTTCTAATTTGTCACAGACACTACAGTTAAAAAAGAAAGCCCGTTAATGCTGGAGCAGGACACTTTACTATTCATAGAGGTTACTCTTCTTAGATTACTTCTTTTTTAAATTTGTATTTTAATGCTCACCAGAAGCAGTTGTTTTGGTAGCAACTCTAACGGACTTGCTGGGTGTTGGAGGCTTGGGGGCATTTTTGGGGGGGCGGCCTCGTTTCCTCTTGACTGGTGGCTCATCGGGGGCTGGTACAGGAATGGCAGCTGGAGCCTGGTCCAGCTCCATGCTTTCTGGGTCCTCCTCTTCCTGTAGAAGTGATGACTCTTCCTCACCCTCACCCTCTTCCTCATCATCATCCTGCTCAGCATGATCCTCATCTGAATGAACACACACAAAACAATCTAGTTGAACATAGTTACAGAAAAACACAGCCCTGTATAAACCCCAAAACGGCATCCACGTCTCACCACTGTCATCATCATCATCCCTCCTGCTCCTCATCTTCCTCTTTCTTCCTCTTCTTCCTTTCTTTGGGATTGTAGCTCCATTCTCAGCATCCTCCACCTCACCGCTGCAGTTCTCCGCGTGGCGAGCCATGGTGTTCTAAAAGAAACACACCCGTAAACAGTCTGTGTTGTGACTTGGAGGTAACTAGCTGGCCTAGGAGTTGACCCTTAGCTTTCACTTCATGTGTGACAGCTAAAAACACATGTAACCTTACCCTTCGGGTGAAGGTCTTGTTACACTTGGGACAAACAAAGGTGGCAGGGATAAAGTTGGGGTCATGGTAGCGTTTGAAGTGCATGTCCAGGAGCTGCTTCTGTCTGAAGGTCTTTTCACACTGGCTGCAGGCATATGGTTTCTCTCCGGTGTGGGTTCGGCGATGCATGACCATGTGGCGCTCCTGGACACAGCAACATGAAAACACAGTTTTCACTGTTAGCAGCAAATATTATTTCATATATCATGCATGCAATAACGGCCAGCAGTTAGATAGTTGACAGACTGCTGAATGTATGGTCATATGGTCTCATTTACACTGTGTAGTGTTGTGCTGATGACGTCAGGAATCGATAATGGCCAAGTTAATAGCGATAGCGCAGTGATCAAAGTAATTCATATCCTAATTGATGTATTAAATTAGTATTGTCATTGTGCTAAGACTCTTAGCTTTGTCCACCATGACTGGAAAAGTCAAGAATACTGGTGGCTGCTGGTGCTAGATCCCTCAGCCTCCTTGTACATGCACCTATGGTATGAATTGAGGAAAAAAAAAATCCTATAATGAAATTACTGAAAACGAAATCCTACATCATCTCATTCTCGGTGTCCATACATGCTGACCTGTTGGGGTAACGCCTCAAAAACAGTTTTAGTGGTTATCCATCATAACACCATACTATCCCAGTACAGTTTGCTACTATCAAACTGCAGAGCCTTCAGCTTCCAGACTCACTCTCAGACTTTTAAACATGAGTAGATGATTCACACTTGATACTAAACTGAAACAATAATATTACTACAAATATGAAAAACCTGGTTGTCACACAATATCAGTTGTATTACAGACCTGGCGACAGCAGTAGTCACACATGTCACATTTGAACCTCTTCTCATTCTTATGTGACTTCTGGTGCTGGATCAGAGCGTAGCGCTCATGGAAAACTGCGTCACAGTAACGACATTTCTTTCCAGTCTCAATGAATGAGTGTTGCTTACGAAGATGGACACCTAAGATAGCACACAGATGACAGGAAAGTAAATTAGGTGGCAGAAACAGCAAGTTAAAGTAAAGTACCATGTGTGTTTGTGTGTTTACACAGTGTGTTTTACCCAAGTCACTTTTGCGTGCAATGACAGTGTCACAGTGTGGACAGTGGAATTTGGCCACATTTTCAGTGTGCTTCTGCAGAATGTGCATCTTCATGGTTCCACTCTGGGTGAATCGGGCATGGCAGATGTAGCACTCATAGGGTTTCTCTCCTAAGAATGATGATTGAGCACATACAATGTTTTACAGTTTCATGTTTTTCATTTCTTTCTCATTTCTCAAAGAGGCCCATATGCCAATATTGGAGGAACTGGGTACTAGCAGTCCGTACCATTTCTAACTTGAGCAATTTAGTCTGGGAAGCAATTTATTATTCTTTCGCATGAAAACAATCAATAAAGCTGTGCACCAAAGAAAACACTTCATTGCCCTTCAGTTCTTTAAACACACAGGAGAGGAGCAGTTAAGGTGTCGGCTTTACCTGAGTGTGTCCTCATGTGTCTCTTCAGCTTGTAAGTGTCTCTGCTAGCGTAACTGCAAAGACTGCACTGGAATGGACGCTCGCCGGTGTGGGAACGAATGTGACGCTTTAATTTGCTCACCTACACAACAGTCACACACAAAGTTACATTTTGGTAAACACTTAAACACCAAGAACACAAAGCAGACAATAGATAAACTTGCCTCCACACTGGCATAGTCACACATGGAGCATTTGAAGGGTTTCTCGTGTGTGTGCTTGTAGCGACGATGGCGAACCAGCTCTCCACTAGTCACGAAAGCCATATCACAGTCTGTACACTTGTGTGGACGAGTTCCTGCATAAATAAAATGTAAGATATATGGAAGCAATCCTTGCATACTTGTGTGAAAAAAAATATTGAACTATCAGCACAGTACAACGTTGTACATTTTAATGACACCACAGATTCATGTTTACCGGTGTGAGTGTTGAGATGGTTTCTTAGCAAAGTGACTGTCCTAAAAGCTCTTCCACACAAATGACATTTGTGAGGTCTCTCATCTGTGTGGCTCTTCATGTGCCTGTCCAAGTTGGAGCGTCGAGGGCATGTGTAGCTACACAGCTCACACTGAAATGTCTTCTTCACTCCTAACAAACAACAAAGACATCGAAAGATTTCATATTCAGTAACAGTGTTTGTATAGCAAAACAATGCAATGCATTTGGGGCTAGCTGCATCTACGGGACACGCGTCTTTAACTAAAACAGTGTTAACTTACAATATTAAGTTTCAACTGTTAAATACAGCTGCTGAACCATTAAGTTAGGACTGACTGTACATCTCTATTCATATTCTTGTTGTGTGATCACTTTTGTTTTGATCGTTCAGAGCTGATTTATATCAGAGAAGACAAATAAACAAGACTCATTAAGTCAATGTGCATAATCTGGACTAGGTTTAAGTTTGTTTGGCATAACAAAGATGGATCCTTGCAACCAACTTACTATATCAATTCCCTAGAGTACCAGGATTATGAACCCATGTACATATATAGATTTTGGGAATCATTTTTAAAGAACTTATATAAATCACTGCAGCACAAAACAAACAAACAAATAAAAAAAACACATGGCTGTAGGGTAGGTTTGCTAAGTAAAGCTAGTTTTGATTTAATAATTTTTTTCTGTCACATGTTCCTGTATATTACTGTAAGGTACAGTAGTGTACAGGAACCTAGATATTAATGGGGGGTTTTAGCCTTAGGCTGTATCTGCTGGCTTGTTATGTTTGGTAACATTGCCACTCAAGTTTTCATTAATGGTTTCTGTTGTCATTTTATCTTATCTCATTCACACACTAACATAGTGGTGTGTATGGCTGCAGTAGCCTAAACAGCCAGCTGATCCTCCTATGCTGTGTATTTCAACTTTCTGTGGTTATAAGTATGCAGCTACGCTGGGTTGGTGCAGTGCTATTCTCCAAACCCATTTAAATGTATTTATAAAGCACATGAAACAAAGGTTTAAACAATAAATTAAGAGATACACCACACATACAAATCATACAAACCACAGAATAAATTTGAGATTTAAGGCATAACATGGGGAAGTAATTCATTCCACAATTTAGGAGCTATGACACACTAATGTACAACTGAAGCAGAGTTGTACTGCCTCAAGTGGTGTCAAATCAATCTGAGTAGGTGCTAATGGAAAAAGCCCTTTACTTACCCTTCTTCTTTATCTTGGTAGGTTTAGGTGGTTTCATGTTGCCGACCACTTTCTCAGCATTGACCTCAGACAGAAGGCCCTCCTGCTGTTCTTCCTCAAAGTCATAGACACTGACATCCATATCCTTGTCTCCCTCAGCATAACGCAGACGACTCTTTTTACCCTGGACAAACAGCAAGTTCAGTTTCAGTACAGCAAAGTCTCTTAAATCTGCATTTACAAAAATAACAATCCCACCACCTTTCTTACCTTTTTGATCTTCTTAACAACTCCAGATGGTGGCTGATAGTCTGGGTCCTTAGCCCAGGTTGGGTCGTCATTTGGAGGCTGAACAGGCTCCTCTTCCCCCTCCTCCAGAAGCTGGTTACCCACCTCTTCATCTTCCTCCTCGTCAGGTTGCGTTTCTGCTCCTTCCTCCTCCTGTTCCACAGTCTCCACCTCACCATTAGCACCAACCTTAACTACCTAAACATGAAAAGGCACAAACTGCTCAGTCAGGGGGTGTTATTCAAGTTTTTATTCAGAACATACAGGCACTACAATTGAGTTAAATGCACTTTTGGTGCAAAATTATTACCAAGAGTAACAAAACAGAGAATGAAAGCAAAAAAAACCCCACCAAAACTTAAGTACTAATGAACCAGTAGAGAAAGGTGAGCAGCATCTTAGTTAAAAGGGGAAACTATAGTTAGCCACTTTTTAGTGAGTGCTTTCTTACTGGCTTACCAGCAGAACGTTCAACAACTACCTCTTTACATCACCCTCCAGAATTTGAAGATTGGAACCAAAGTATAAGGTTTCAAATGATAACAGAATTGCTACGTTAAATGTTTTTTCCTAATTTCTTGCTAATGTATGTCCAGTACCAGAGGATCAGTGGGAAAGCCAAGAAAATATGTAAGTGGTTTGCATTTTGTTTCACCACAGGATCTTCAGCAAGTTAATTCTCTGTGGAGAAAGTTACTCTCTCAAGGACAGAGAGGAAGTCCACTGGTACTGATATGTTTTCCTAAGTTTCCAGTTCAATTTTAAAATTTCCCTCCTTTTCACATTTTTCCATTATAGCTCTTATGATTTTACACTTTCAATTTGTGTAATCCTTGGTATATTTTAGAAATGTATCGAATTCCTTGAATTGATTTATATGCCATTAAGAGAACCTTTAAAAACAACTGACACATCTGCTTCAACATCTTTCTTTTTAAACGCATTTCCCATATAATGTCGATTTTTGTGAAAATCTATAGAAGTCTTGATTTGTCAATCCTTGTTCTTTCAAATCTTCAAAGCATTTTAAAAGTGGTCCCACTAAGTAAATTTTTCATTTAACCAAACCTATGTCTTTTATCCTATAACCTATATCTATATCATTCTTAAATCAACTATCAGTTTTATTTGGGCTGAATTCAGGGTCGTATATTATCTAGTGTATCGGTCTATAGAGTTCCTTGGGTTGCTTCTCTCTGACCACACTGAACTAAGTCCTAAGAGATGTTTATATCCAGGGGTTGGATTCATTAAGGTGGAGCAGGTTCTGTAATGGAATATGACTTTATATTTCCATCTCCTTCCACTGTGCTGTGCAGACTGAGTTACACATGTTCGTCAAGGTTGTGATCTGTACTGCCCTAAACTAATCTCTAGTATTTGGCAGGAAAAGACGTTCTTTGTCTTTAGCCACTTGCAGGGTCTTAAGTTTAATCTTGGGTCCTTTGCCCTGCCAAATAAAACAGCAAAACCACCTGTCGAGCTCTTGAAAGACTTCTCTTTCTTCTCTCTAAGCACTTCTGGTGCATGATCATGTTCCAAGAAAACCTTCCTGTCTTGAAAAACAAACCCCTTTTTTCTGCCAGACAATTTTGAAACTTCTTCCTTTACCTTGAAGCTGCCAAACTTGGCCACTATGGATCACTGAGGGGCAGCACATGGCAGCTTCAGAGCGACAGAGTGGTGAGCGCTCTCCATTCCCAGCTCCATAGCATGTGAAATAGCCAACTTCTCCCTCAATGCATTTTCTACAAAAGCAGCTACATTGGGCAAGTTTTCTTCTATTCTGTGAATTCTTTCACAACTCGACCTTCCTTCTTGGTCATTAACCTGGCTTCCAGCCAGCTAGCATGGGTATCAATATTCTTTCTTCTGCTTCTGTAATTCTTTTTTCAGTGTGGTCCATTCCCTTGCTCATTTTTACAATTTTACCTTTAATTTCACAGAGTTCAGTACTGTTTTCATGGCAGAAGTCTCTTAACTCTTTGAGGATGGTTTGAACATTAGTTGAGTTGCTAGTATCCTGTTCCTCCATCCCCAAGTGGCTCTCATCAGGGTCTTCTTCCCACACAAATAGGGCCTTTATCTTGAAGTGGGACACTCTTGTATGCCTTCCTTTCAGCATAGTGATACCATCTCTTGAGTTCAGTGGTCAACTAGTTAAAGTAGGTTTACATATATGACGTATTTTTTCCCTAAAGGATCAGGAGCTCAAACTTTATGCTCCTACTATCATATCACCCAAACTGGAAGTTTAATGACACCCAGACCCGAAGAGGACACTTGATTGTTTTTAAAGACACTGATCACTTCAGTTCTTTATATGTTAGAACTTTCTACAGGGCGGGCCATTTATATGGATACACACACCATAATAACATGGGAATGGTTGGTGATATTAAAGTCCTGTTTGTGGCACATTAGTATATGTGAGGGGGCAAACTCCTCATGATGGGTGGTGACCATGGTGGCCATCTTGGATACAACTTTTGTTTTTTTCAATAGGAAGAGGGCCATGTGACACATCAAACTTATTGGTAATGTCACAAGAAAAACAATGGTGTGCTTGGTTTCAACGTAACTTTATTCTTTCATGAGTTATTTACAAGTTTCTCTTTGTTCACAGCCATTGACATGTCGAAGAGGTTAACACGTGAGGATTGGATTGAAATTGTGTTGATATCTGGTGAACGCAGTAACCGGGTCATTGCAGCAGATGTCAATGCAAGACACCCTACGAGACCACCCATCTCCCATGCTACAGTTAGCAAACTGCTTGCTAAGTTTTGTGAAACTGGTTCAGTGTTGGATTTGCCAAAATGTGGACGCAAGAAAACGGTCACTAATGAAGAAACATCAGTGGCTGTCCTAGCTTCATTCAGCAAGAGCCCACAGCGTAGCACTCGCCGCATGTCACTGGAGAGTGGCATTAGTCCAACATCCCTTCAGTGGATATTAGCTACTCACAAATGGCACCCTTACAAACTCCAGCTAATGCAGCATCCCAACGAGGATGACCCAGATCGGTGCACAGAATCTGCAGAATGGGCAAAACAAAAATTGGAACAGGACCCTCAGTTCACGCAGAAGATTTTGTTCAGTGATGAGGCAAACTTTTATGTGAATGATGAAGTTAACAAACAAAACCACCGCTATTGGTCTGACACTAACCCACATTGGATGGATCCCTCCAAGACTGTTGGAACAACAAAAGTGATGGTTTGGTGTGGTATATGGGGTACAACGATAGTGGGTCCATTCTTCATCAATGGAAACCTCAAGGCCACTGGATATTTGAAATTGCTACATGATGATGTGTTTCCCTCTTTATGCACTGAAGCTGGCACGTTCCCTGAGTTTTCCCAGCAAGATGGTGCACCACCACATTATGGGTGCCAGGTCCGAGCATTCCTAGATGAACAGTTTCCTGGAAAGTGGATTGGTCGTCGTGGACCAGTTGAATGGGCCCCAACGTCTCCCGATCTGACCCCCTTAGACTTTTATCTTTGGGGTCATCTGAAGGCAATTGTCTATGGTGTGAAGATACGAGATGTGCAGCACCTGAAACTACGGATACTGGATACCTGTACTGGCATTTCTCCTGCGGTGTTGCTATCAGTGTGTGAAGAGTGGGAGAAGAGGGTTGCATTGACAATCCAACACAATGGGCAGCACACTGAACACATTTTGTAAGTGGTCAGAAACTTATAAATATCTCATGAAAGAATAAAGTTACGTTGAAACCAAGCACACCATTGTTTTTCTTGTGACATTACCAATAAGTTTGATGTGTCACATGGCCCTCTTCCTATTGAAAAAAACTAAAGTTGTATCCAAGATGGCCGACTTCTAAATGCCCACAATGGTCACCACCCATCTTGAGGAGTTTGCCCCCTCACATATACTAATGTGCCTGAAAATCAGAGAATATTAACCTTGCCCTTTTAAATTCAACTTTTCTCTTGTGTTAGTTGCTTTTAAAATATCTCACATAGTTAAGGTTGTCACAATAAAAGATTAAAACAATTATTTTTGGGTCAAGTAAGCAACAACAATGTTGGTACTGATACTGTGGTAAAAAAGTATCTGATTCAATAGTAATTTTCAATATTGATTAGTATCATTTCTTGCAACACTACTATTAGATACAATATTTTTAGGTTATCTGAGACTGCTGTAATTCTGCTGACTCTGCACCATGTTTTCCCGAGTTGGTAAGATAAGCTTCTTGTCTAGTTGCTGGCAGACTGTTCTCAGCAACTTATAAACTGCAGCCTAGCTAATGATCACCTATGGGCACGGATGATCTAACCAAATAGATACAAACTGAATTTTTGGAATGTGAAGAAAGGTCACAATGGTTGGCTAGTGTGAAAAAACACATAAAAAAAATAATAATAATAATAATAATTTCGCCCAATGCTTGCTTGTATAAATGACACATCAAGTGATAAATAAGTGTTCTTACAAGGTGTGTTTGACCTGCTGTGGCCTTTACATTAATGTGACATTCAATTTAGACCAAAGCTTTGCAGCAGCTCTTACACAAAGGCTTCTGAGCCTGACCTAAAGAATATACACTAATCATTTTTAACATTAAACGACTAAAAAAATTAAACCTTTGACTATAGTACATATATAATTTTCAAATGTCATGCATGAGTTTACAGCTGTACATCTGTGTACCTGAAAGCCTTCAGGCAGTGGAAGGGTGTGACAGATAACTGGGTCTCCATCTTTAGGCATTGCAGTAGTGTCTACAAAATTGCCCTGTTGAAGCGCCTCTACAGTAGTGGCTGAAACAGGCACCTGAACCAGCTGTAGCTCCCCCAAGCCCAACGCGGCTTGCTCCTCCATGTTCACCACCTGAGGACAGGACAACAGAAATCATGCCTTCTGATTCAACAGAGTAGTGAGATTTTACACACACACACACCAATCTGGGGGGGTGGGTTTGCCTTATTTGATAGAACAGTGGAGAGAGGCGGGAATGTTGAGAGAAGTGCTAAGAGTAAATGGCCTTGGGATAGACAGGCCTGCATTAGTTTTAGGAATATGTGTCGCCTGCTCAACTGTGTAACCAGCACTCTACTGAAACTAATAGACAACATTAACTAATAGAAAAAATAAACTTCATTAAAACTATATTAAAAGTCTACTGGCTTTGTTGACACCACAAATGGATAAAAAAAAAAAAAAAAAAAAAAAAAAAAACAACCCCAAAAACAAACAAGAAAAACAAAAAACAAATATGAAATGGAAAAAAAGTACCTGTAGGGTGATTATCTGCGTTTGATCCACAGTTGTCACAGTAGCTTGGTGAGCACCACCTGGTACACCTCCGACCACACCCACCGCAGCTGATGATCCTCCCACTGCAGCATCTATTACCTACAATTATGTATAATAATGAGCACTGTGGTAAAGATGCATATTCTGGAAGGCATGCTTGGTACTCTAAATTCAATAAATGTCATATCTAAAACTAAAGTGACATCAAAACATAATATTTTCATTTTTCTTCTAAGTTTAAATAACTATTAAATCCTGAAAAATAACGTAAAATAATGTAACTGTAACTCACCTCAGTTTTCATCTGCAACAGGGTGGGATCCAATGAGTCCATAACCATCATTTCAACACCTGTGCCACCTTCCACACCAACTCCTTCCATTAGCTGTTGCTGGGATTGAGTGGCTGCTGCCATTCCTTCCCCGTGACCTGTTGGATAAAACAGACCTGTTGGACAAAACCTTTGACTGTTTTAATGTCAAAATGTCCCCGGTTACATTACAAATGAATACTTTTTTAAAAAAAATTTTAACAGCTAAACGGTAAAATTACATATGAAATGAGTAAGAACCTTGTTCTACGACAACTCCAGCTTGTCCCTCCACCACACCCCCAGCCTCAGCTGCTTGCTGAAGGAGATCCACCACCATGGCATCCTGGCTGTGAACAGCTTGGATGGACGGAAACTCTTTGGTGGGGACATCCACAACCCCTAAACCATCTGTTGGCCTCCCGTCCATGCTGGGTAGGAACTGAAATATTGTGTTGTGGAAACAAACATTTTCTAGCAGTGTGGGGCCATATTTCGTCTAGGACAGCAGTATACAGTCTTACAACTGAACACAAGAAGTTGACTAAACTATGACCATATAAAAACCAAAGGAGAAGAAACTAATCAGTAGCCGGTTACAGTTTGATCATGTATCTGTTCACCAGCATGCTAAACTTCCATCTCAAAACATGACATTTTTCTGATTTAACGTTCTCCCATTTCTATTGATACTGAGGATTATTGCACATAAAAACATGATTTCTGTATGCATAGCATCTACTTTCAGAACTTATGAAAATATGAAAAACAGATTATTCAAATATTTCATATCATTAACTAGTGAACCGGATATGTACAATATTAAGATTCTGGATAATATTAAAATGTAAAACAAACACCATGCTGCCACTATCAAGCTGTACTCTCAGAATGGGAACAAAGTGAAACTTATAAGGCTCAACTTTTTCTTAACACTACAGCTGTTACCTGGAATAGAAAGGATAATGACTTAAACATGACTTTGCTGACTAGGCTGCAGTCTGCAGGGTTCTTGTATCAGAGATCTCCTTTTTTTGCTGCTGAAAGCCCTGAGCTGTGCTCGATCAAATGCCTGCTACCTGACTGTCCCTGCCAACCTGAAGGACAGGAGAGGGATATATTACACAGCAGCACTATATGCTTATGTATTCCGTGCACATTCACAAGCAGTGACTTAAACTGCATCATAAAGCAGGGAAAAGGGTTGTGGACCTGAAGGAGTACTATGAATGGGGAGAAAAAAAAAAAAAAAGAAGTTTCGCACTAAAAGTGTCTACATTCAGCATGTATTTTTCTCTCTGCCTCTGCAAGATCACATTACAACATTAAAACTATGTAGTGTTACACATCATGGTGAAATCTGATATAAAGAGGTTTAAAAAATATCTTAGAATAAAGGATCAGCGATATATGACTACTGCCATTTGCTGGTTTCCCCCCCTTGAAATCTTTTATTTACCAGTACTAGCCTGTATAAATCAGTATGTTTCAGGGTAGGCTGAATTTGTACTAACAGACTCATTAAATCTGTACTAACCCCCCCTCCCCCATTCTTCTATAAGACTAGACTTTATTAACAATGAAGAAAAACAAAACTGACACCATCACTGCTAATTGTTTAACTTGAGCAAAACCCTTAACTGTACACAAAGGGTGAGATCTAACAATCAGCTTTGAAATATGCTGACATTTTACACACCACACAGTCCAGAGAAAATTGCATTAGTAGCTCAAGAAATGATATGTGCTTAGATCTGAATACTGTGCTAAAAATTCACCCTTTTCACCCTTAAAACACCACACATTTAGAGATGTGTATGCATTTATATATATATACACTTGAGATGAAGTAGTGGCTGTGTAACTACTCTTACACACACCATAACCCCAATGTGATTTTAGAATACTGGCAATCCCTGAAATGTGTTTGTGAGATTCGACACATTTGTCTTTATTTGCTAAATGTGGGAAACTGGAGAGGCTCTGGCAAAGGCCTTCATACATCCTTCCATTTACAGCAGAACAAATTTACCACAAAACAGCAATCACTCGGAGCGGAGCAGTCAGTTGTCGTCCCCTTTCAATGCATTTATATAGCTGTATTTTTGTAGCTCTCCAAGCCGAGTCGTAGAGGGAGCTCTCTGCTGTAATATATATCTGTGGCTATGAGGCTCTAGGTGGGCTTAGAATAAGCGACGAACTGGCAACGGGTGTAACAACACCCGACAATTCAGAGCACGTCGTGATGGGCTAAAAAGGAGAGAGGTGCAACATTCAATAATGGAAGACGGCTGGGAGAACGCTAAATGCTCATCTGATCTTCGAGAACGCCAAAGATCGTTCTGCTGTGAATGCCTCGTCACTCTCCCGCACTTGCCTCGGCGTTGGCGTTTCCGTGTGTGTACTTTGCAACGAGGGGCCACAATAATCAGTTTGGTTCCAGTATTTCAGATGCGTCAGGAAAGTGCTGAGTAAAACCTTGGTTAGGGTCACGTTTCGAGACTCAGTTGCTTCGAAACATTCAGACGTATTAAGGGCGTTGGGTACAGAGGGCCTCAAGCCTGTCAGGTCGACGTGATCCTGTTAGCTTTGCTAACAGTGACTGCTAACCAACGCTAGTAGCTATCTCGCTTCTTTTTCCCCAAATATAGATTTGATTAAACGTTATGCAACACGCTAAAGCTCAAAGTAACGTGAACAGGATCACCCAAAAAGACGCCAATGTCGCAACAATTATTTCGTGCTTGTAAGATTGTCTGGGTTACACTTTATATTAATGCAAACAAGCTAACGTTAACTAACTTAAACCCGCCAGTTCGATGTCGTCAAGGTAGCAAAAATGGGAAACAAAGAAGCGAGAAAATGGACGCCTTGGCCTAAACTCTCCAACCAAATCGACGGAGTATTCACAACATGTCTTCGACTATATTCTAACAAATACGTACGAAATACAACTGGATGTATACATATTTATTGTAACTTGTGTTTTTAAGCATATTTTGACAGGGTTTTCAATAACGATAGAGGGAGACAAACACTCTCCGACGAGCTGCCCGGACCCAGAGCCCCATCGTGACACCTAGAGGCCGATTAAAGATCCTGCAAACTCCCCCCTTATGTGAAAAGTAGTGATACTTTACCTCTTTTAGTCTGTTTCTCCTTCTGCTTAACTCGGCGGAAAGCACAGAGTCTGTGCTACAAAGTTTAGCCGACTAGGGAAAAATGCGGGCTTCTTCGCAGTTTGTTTTAATCCTTCTCCTGCTTTAGCAGAGTAGCTTCTGCCACAAAATGGCAGTTGGAAGCTCAGTGCGCCTGTGCGGCCGCTGGGGGGTGGTGTCGAAGCTGCTGCAGACACACTGATTGGCCAGGAGGGGCGCCCCGTTGGAATACAGTGAAGCCTATTTATCACAACATTAGGAAAACGGACGCTTTCACAACCCTCGGAAATGCGACATTCACAAGAGAATAAACCCGAGGCGTTAACGTTTTCAATAAAACATACAAATGAAAACATGCTCATTTAGAACCAAAGAAAAAGTTATGTAACTGAAATGTTTTTAGTCTGTTTAATATTATGGGAAATATTAACTTTTTTTATTTGTGTCTGACACTAAAATAAAGATATGCAAAGCTTTTAGCTTTCCATTTATTACATGAAATGACTTGGATGATTATCCTGAAGATATACACCCACATCTGAGCTGTAACTGTGTCCTGCTTTTTTTAATCTCTCTCTCCACACACACACACACACACACACACACACACACACACACACACACACACACACCTTCCAAAATTTAGTGTTCTATGGCTAAAATTCTACTCTGTGTGTGTGTTTGTGGGGTGGTGGTGGGTGGGTTAACACTCAGATACACAGAGCTCTTCATCTAAAGATGATCAATCGCACAGGAAGCTATCTTACAATGTTTTAATAGTTTTTTTCAATATACTTGACACAAGAATGTTTGAAAATACATCTCAGAACACTAGAAATAAAACATTTGTTTACAATGTTTCACAATTCCCCAAGCTTGATAAAAAACAATTGCATACATGTGTGTCCTGCAATGGGATTTCATCACTTCACATTCTCTTCATTCTTAAAGTATCTCATTTCTGTCTTATTGCATATCTCTTATTAAAAAAAAAAAATCAAGGCACTTAAAAACTGAGATGCCTTGATTGCAAAAGGAACACCTGTAGATTTCTGTTGTCCTATAGAAGTCAGTGTAGTAAGAACATTAAATACAGTGGTAGCATTGATATATACAGTGATTCCCTGCATGACATCAACTCTATAACAGGATTCCAGTGACAGTGCATTCTGGTGATCTTCTTAAATTGTATAATCAAACCAAAGATCATTATGGATGCTTTGAAGGAAATTCCAAGTTGTTTCATTTTTTTCTCCTTTTTTCCTCCCTTCAGCATCTGTGATGTGCATACGATAACTACAGCTGTAAAACACTCTCTTTTCTGAATCTATAAGTACTAAAATGTGACATCCAGCTCATATTTCATGAAGTAAAATAGACCAAAGTCCCACAGTTTAAATCTTTTTTTTTGTTGTTTTAAATCTGTTTGCCCAAATCCTTACCATTTAAATACATTTTTAGTTGGCTTTTCCTCACAACTCATCTCAGATGGGTGACAAATCAAAGGAAAACAATAGTAACATGCATGATCAATACATCTAACTAGAACAGCTTCAATACTCCATCAAATTGATTTGAGCATCTGGATCTCTACATTTTGGTTCAATATCTCTAACAGCCGTTCAGTTGGGTTAAGATCTGGCACTTGTGTCTAATTTTGGAAGGGACCACTCCCATCAGGAGAGAAAAGCTCGCTGAATGCATTGCGATGACTCACAACTTTGGATTAATTTGATTAAATGGACTTAATCCATTAGGTAGTGCATTAGGAACCTAGAAACACATAAGGAAAAAGAATATTCTTGTTAAAAACTGCCATCAAGCATCAGTGAGACTAAAACTGCTGAGTTTGATATAACAATGAAAAATCAGACATTGTCATGAAAGTTCACAAAGCAATAAAAGTAAAATACCAGGCCTGCAGACACTATAGCCAAGTTAGTGCCTCACTGAACCACTACAAAAGGCACAGCAGCATTCTGAGGTAAATGCAACTGCTAACAAAAACTTTCACAATTACAAAGTCAACATTTTGATTCTGTATAATGTTAACAGAATTAGTTTAGTTTAACTGTATGCTACACTTTGCTTAATATAGAGTACAGCTGAGGCTGATGGGAATCTAATTTTGCAAAACCAGGTAGACATACTCAAGTATGACCCCATGATGGCAGTAGAGGGACAGTCCTCTTCCTTGCACCATTCTGATCAAAGATAGTCTAATTCAAGACCTTCCATCTGATAGCACAGCTATAACTGCTCATCTGTCAATGTTAATCAAACTGGTCTTTATCACAGTACTAGTGTCATACAGTATGAGATTGGGATATACAGCTGTAGGCCCCAAGTTAAATTCCAGTAATGGTACTTAGCAAATGAGAAAAGGCAGTATAGTGACATTAGCATCAGCAGTGTCACTGTAAAACTATTATAAGAATGCATTAAAGTGAGGAACTGAAGTCACTTGGACACTTTGGCATTTTCAGTCATATGTGTCATCTGTACATTACACATGTTTGTTTGGACTCTGTGTCCTAGTACAGTGTCCGAATCATGCTGTATTTAAACAAAGATTATTATTACCTGCATGATCCACAAGTACAAAACACTTTTCCCCCTTGTTGTTTGTTGAAAAACTAATGTGCTTTAAAAATAAAGGTCATTTTTAAAAACTCAATATTAATATCAATATATATCTATCCATCCATCCATCAGCCACAATTACAGTGGTCTGCCTAATATTGTGTAGCATTTTCTCAAGCTGCCAAAACAGCTCCAACTAATTTAGGTGCGGACAGAGACTCTGTAGGGATCTCATGACACCCCGCAGATCTGATTGCGATCTAGGGGAGTGTACGGATCGGGTTCAAAGGTGGGATCTTTGTTTTCTATTCCTGAGCAGTTGTTTGGGTGGTAGAGCTCAGTTTCTTGCCAAGTCTGCCAATGTTAAGAATCACTGCTACAAGTTGGTGTATTTGGTTTGCAGTAATGTTTAGGTGAGGCGTACATGTCAAAAATAAATAGCAGGATCCACACTTTCTACAGGCACAGTGGACGTTTAGATGCCACTTCATTTTTGTAATAGTCTGTTTCTGATTTCACTGCACTACCCGAGATTGCCCCTCTCTACATCAGCCTTATTACGCAATTCTGAGCAGCTTATTTGTTTCAACTCTGTTGAAAGAGCCAACCAACTAGTTCCCATGACATTAACATTAATAACAAAAAACCCAATAATACTATCACATACTTTGCTTTCTAAAGTGCTGCTCTCATCCAACATGTCCTGAGACACACGAGGGCCCTCAAGCGTTAACCTCAAAAAATCTTATTTTAATGCACAGTGATGCGGCATCGCTTACGGTGACAGTAAGCACTCCTTTGCACTCAAAAATAAAAATCTCAAGATATATTCCATAACTGTCTTTGCTAATCAATTAAATGGTCTTTGAAGCATTTCTGTACACCATTTTTCTATCCCTTAATATCCTTACATTCATAATCTTCTAGTCATTTCTGTGATGAAATACAAAAAAAATGCATATTATTAAATTCAAGAATATGTGTATTTTAAGAACAAACCTAAGTTTTTTCCATATTTAAGTTAGTATGAATTTCCACTTCAGTGAAGGAATGTCGACTTCTGCTTTAGTATTTGTATTTGCAAAAAGGTTTGCTCTTGGACTTTGGTGTTTTGGCTCACACGATGAACTCTGCCTCAGAGAAGGCTGATGTCTTTAGTTAATCTACCAACTCCACAGACACACTACTTTTTAAACTGTAGCATGTTCTGTTCATTAACTTTTCATGCGTTACATTCTTTGGTCTTTGTTTTTGGTGAGATTTGATTAGAACGTGTTGCCATGTAGAATACACCATGTAAAAAGTTCAGGTGTAAAGTCATCCTGCACCTCTTCAGTCAGTCTGTGTTGCTTGTGTTTACTTCGTCGACACTGACAGAGCTCA